AAAAACTAAGACATACCCAACTTCCACCAGGTCCCAAATCCAAGTCTCGGGGAAGAAAGCACGGACAGTTTTCATCGGCCCTTCTGATGGACCTAAAGATCCTCCAGAGTAACTTGAACCCGCTTGTAATTTAGATTCATAGAAAAAAAGAAAAAAAAAGAAAGAATAAAAAAATAAATACTTAATCAGAATCAATAAGAAGGTGTAACACACTGCTTTGATTTTGGGAACTTTTTTATGATTTGGAATTTGCAAAGCAAATCAAAACAAAAATATCACCTAAGGGCATGAACTGGTATTCTCTTCCCATGAAACTCAGACATGAAGGAATTTCGAGCAGCAGGTTTGTTGCCACCTTTAATCCTACTCTCTAGACACACAAACATCACAGAGTTAATTGCAGCTAAAGCCATGAAAAGCATTATATTTATCATCAGCTGATATGCTCTGGAGTTTTACTGTTAGCTGGATGCAAAATCTGCAGATGGAATGCTGTTGTAATTATACCAAGTTCACCAATGCTGCAGAGAAGGACTATTGTTTGTCATATATTACATAGTGCAGTAGAATATTATTTATTTATGCAACTATTAAGACTCACCTTATGTGGAACATTTGAAACAGTCAAGGTGCGAGGCCAACATCAAGAAGCTGGATCCATGGATCCAGTGAAACACACAACACATGCTCATGGAAAATATTTATATATTACCTGAAAAGCAATGTAGGCTTCATTATCTCCTTTAGGTGAACAATATCTTCTTGTTCTCACTTTCAAGCATTTTCTTGGTTCTCGTAGCCGATATGGGAAATAAGATGCTTTCATGACAGGCAGCAAGTTAAATATCTAAGAAAAAAAATGGTTCAAAGAAGTTCAAACAATTGAGAAAATCAGATTAAAGATCTGTACTTATATGAACCACATATGTAGTATTTACAAATGATCAGATCACTGTTCAATGTAAGGTTTATACCACAGCTGTCCTAAATGAACAGGATTGGTAATTACCAAAATCAATTTTTATGGTTCTGTAATTCTCAGGACTGTGTGGAGAAGAGAGAGAGTGGACCCAAA